AGAGAGAGAGAGAGAGAGAGAGAGAAGAATGACAGCTCTTACAATGGAAGATTGCACATGTGTGAGATCTCGAACATGTTGACTTTAGGGACAGCAAATACACTGACTTTCCTTCACACGTTGAGGGACAATATTTATTTTAAGAAAATTGATGTGCACTCCCAAGTACTTTTCAAACATTGCTAATTTTGATGCATTAAACTAATCACCTCAATGACTAAAATTAAAATGATTGTGGTTTTGTATGTTTGACATCAATTTCATTAAATATGACATACACAAAAGTCAATAAAAAAACAGAGCTATAAAATATTCTTTTTTTCTTTTTTTTTTTAGTACAAAAAATGAGGCGAAAGCCTTAGGCGATAATGTTACGAGGGCAAGAAACCCCTAGGATATCATGGTATTAAATATTCTAAACGTTAATCGAACCAAACCCATATGGGGAGTCTTCAGTTATATCAAGCTGCACATTAAACTTGAAATGGAGCCAGCATTCTTATATATATATCCTGTTCATGTATAAGCTGGAAAGTGGAATTTGTACTATAATCTTAATATTTACACCAATATAATAACCTCATTCATTATGTAGCATTATCAGACATTAAATTAGCTTTGATCCTCTGCATATCGGCTATTGTCTCTATCATGTTAATTCTTTTTTCAGGCGAAACAACCAAACATTTCATTGCCACAGTGAAGATAGACGAGACACATTCTTCGTTTTCACTGGAATATTGTCTCTCTCTTGCTAGCAAATCAGGGGCCAAAACTCACTTGCTGCATTGTTTTGCAATGCTCTATATACCCACTCCTTTAAGCTTGTTTCTTCATCAAACATGTCGTCTGTCGGCTTCTTGCCAGTGAGAGTTTCGAGCAAAAGTATGCCGAAGCTGTATACATCTCCGCTCGTCGACACTTTCTCTGGATTGTATAAACATAGGATAAATATTAGACATGTCAATTTTGAGAAAATTGAAACAAGTTAGGGACATTGATGTTTAAATAAACTGGCTTGGCCTTTATGTCTGACCTGATTATCAGATAAATCAATGATCTTTCAGAATTACTAAATGACCCTTACTATAAAAAAACTCCTTAGAAAGTAATTACGAAATAAATGTCATGTAACTTGAACTACCCATGGAAAAAGTTTCTTGATCTGTCCTTTTCTCCCCCAAATTACTCCTATAAGACCTACTCCAACCGGTACCCAAAACGCAAAAATTGAGGTAAAAACTCTCCAACCGAACAGCAAACTCATATGCAAAATGAGTTTTTTGCTTTCTCTCTCATCCTTCAAACGCAAAAATGCGTTTGGACCCAAAAAATGCGTCTGAACTTTTTAAATTGCACTCAACTCCAATTTTGTATCTTTTATTACATATTGATCAAGATTGTGAAAAAAATTCATACCTATATTTGTACATATATTTTTTATCTAACTTCTTTACACATAGTAAAACACTAATAAATAAATATATTATTCCCCTACATATTTTTTGTCCATTTTTTGTATACATCATAAAACAGTATATTTTTTTTCCCCAATTTAATGTGTAGTTTGTGTTATGAATATAAAAGTTAATTTATGTTAGTTACTGATATAATTTGATGTTGATTTTTCTTACAGATAATAATGCAAACATAAGATTAAAAATCTATAATATATACATTTAGAAAATTACAGTATATGTCATATGGAGTGTGTAGAGATAGTTAAATTCAATATGACCATCTTATTTTAAAATGTGTTCTAATATTTTTATGTGTATGAATTATTAATTTATAGATATTTTTTAAAGTTTAAAATAAGAAAACAAATTTTGCTTATTTTAAAATGTGTTCTAATATTTCCTGTGTACGAATTATTAATTTATAATTTTTTATAAAAGTATAATGTAAACAAAAAATATAATTAATTTTAATTACATAAAGTCTAAATTGAATTTAAAATAATAGTGTGGTTTAATTTGTAAAGTTGAAAAATATGTGGGTAGTATTGAAAAATTATAAAAGTTGGTGTAAAATAGAATATTCTGGGAATATTCTTTTGGGTTTGAGAATGAGTTTTTCGGTTGGAGATGAATTACTGCAAAATGGGATAGTTACTGCAAAATGGGTTTGAGTTTGAGTTTTTCGGTTGGAGATGGCCTAACACATAACAGAATTGAACAGTAATTGAAAAAAAAAAATTAAATAAATAAACAAAGGCACTAAGATAAAATTAGAGAGACAAATTCAACTGACCTGGTGCTGCATAACCAATGGTGGCCATGGTCTTGGTCTGAACCATAGTTTCCCCATCATCAAGTAGCTTCGCTATACCAAAATCATCCGAACGAGCAACCATATCTTCCCCAAGCAACACATTGCTCGGCTTCACATCACAGTGAACTATGGGAAATGTGTAGCCATGATGAAGATACTCCAAGGCCAAAGCCACTTCTATTGCTATCTGCAGCCTTTGCATCAAACTCAAGTAACGATCATCTGCGCGCAACCAGTTCTCCAGGCTCCCAGTTGGCATGTACTCGAGAATCAGGGCTTTGAACTCCGTGTTGCTACAGCAGCCGATGCCGAACATTGCTGAGTATCTCAGCCTCGGATTCAAAGCTGCGAATGACTCTTTCTGTTTTCGAGGCGAAAACTTTTATTGCTATGTTTGACCCATCAGAAAGTGTTCCCTTGAAAACAGAACCGAAGCTACCTCTTCCGAGAAGGTTTGCCTCGCTAAAACCATTTGTACCTCGCGAAAGTTCTATATACGTAAATCTTATGCAAGCAATTCCGAGCAAGGTATCATCAGTAGTAATTAACATTAATTGTCCTCTTTTAGATTTCCCTCGCCTGAAACAAAATTATAACGGCAGCAGCAAGTATAATAGAAGCGAAGGGTGGCAGAATGTACTTCAGAACCCAAACAAATTTCTTTGCTCTTTTTCTTCTGAAATTCTTCTCAACACACAGGGGAATATGATACTTTGCTTCACCGCACAAACCAATGTTGTTGAGAAATGAGTCGGCAGTGAAATTGACGAAAGGGCCCGCTGAGGGTACCGGGCCTGCTAGCTTGTTGTCACATACATTAAAATATTGAAGAAAGTTGAGGTCTTGTAAAGTCTCTGGGATTGGCCCGGAAAGATTATTGCTCGACAAATCCAATGCCCTCATGCCTCTAATGTTTCCCAAGGATTTTGGGATAGCTCAGTCAAACTCGTTGTTCGACAGAAACAAGGATTCTAATGAGCTGCAGCCGTCGATCGAGGTCGGAATATCTCCAGAAAGCTGGTTATGCGAAAAATCTATGAAACTGATCGCCGTGAAACTCGCGAGCTGAGATGAAAGTCCGCCACTCAGATAGTTGGAAGAAAGATTTAGAAACAGCAGGTCACGAAGATTCCAGAAAGCAGAAGGTATAGTTGAATTCAGCTTGTTCGATGCTAAGAAGAGGGTTCGAAGATAACTAACTTGACCCAAGCATTCGGGCAAGGGGCCCATGAGAAGTTGTTATTCAAATACAGCTCACCAAGATTCCTAAGCTGGCATATATCAGGAGGAATATATCCTTGCAGTTGATTCCCCTGAAGACTTAATAGTTGGAGTTCCTTCAAATTTCCTAGTCTCTGTGGGATGAACCCTGTCAACCGATTGTAATCTAAATATAGACTAAGCATACTGCTTAAGTTTCCAAATTAGGAAGCAATAACACCCGTAATATCACAATAACTCGCCCCAATATAACTCAAAAAATTACCGACTGAAGATGGGAGGATGCCATTAAGTGAGCGATAAAGACAAGCGTTTCAAATTCCGGCAACTGGTTAGAGACGAGAGGAATCCGAGTTCTTGATCCTCGGATTTTGCTCCGGTCAATTTATTTTTATAAAAGTTGAGATGACGTATTGTCTTAAGTTTTCCAGGTTGGGTACGTAGCCACTGAATGAGTTTTCGGACATTTCCAAGATTCTGAGCTTGGATGCATTGTTGATAAAGCTCGGAATTTCCCCGCTGAGTTTGTTAGAAAGCAAGGCTAGCAACTAGTGACAGCCGGTCAAAATGGATCCCCAGAGTCAACATGACAGAAAGGTACACCCCTGCTTATCTGTCCATCGGACGCAGATTTGATCGGGGTTACGGCATCATGAATCATTTCAAATGCAGATAGGGTCGTAGCCAGAAATATTTTTTACCCTGGGCTGCTAGAACCGATTTGTTAGGGAGTATAACTCAGTTCGACTCGTAAAAAATCAATCGTGATTCATTCATATAATAAAACATAAAATGAGAACTTAGTTCAAACGAGCGGAGCTTAGTTGATTACACTCAATTTATTAAAAGTTTCGAGCCAAACATGTTCATTTACAAGTTCGAACACGATGTACTCGATTCAATTTGGCTTCAATGATATTTCGCTTAAATTGTGGAATTCCAAATGTCGCTTCATTGGTCTGCTATGCAAATTAATGATTTTAAATTATCTATTTCGCATATTCAAATATAATTTATTTAAAAGTTAACAAGTTGATGTATTTTACATATAAACTAATATAAATAATATAAATTAATCGTGTATTAAATCAAATATTAAAAAATAAAAAAAAACAAAAAAGAAGAAAAAATGACAAAGTAAGCTAAAACCACATAAAAATACATATGAAAAGTTTGAGTCACGTCCAAAAATATGTATAATATTTTGGTTTAATATCAACTATTTTAAATGAATACGGACTAAATAATTATATCATGAATTAAATTAATAAAACATGGGTTAAAATATTTTTTTTTTACTACTACATATTTATATTGGACAAAAAATTAAGACTGGGTTGGAGCCCGGGTGAGTCAGGCGTGAGAACTTGGGCCGTGGGGGCAAGGGGCCAGAAAACTGGTTGCTGGAAAGTTCCAGAAGCTTCAAGGTTGATATGGTGAAAATGCAAGGTGGGATTGGAGCCGGATAAGGAATTAC